CATTTGATGGGAAGAATGTTCTTATGACTGGTGCTGGTGCTGGTTCTATCGGAGCCGAGGTCTTGCAAGGACTTCTCAGCGGTGGCGCTAGAGTCGTTGTTACTACTAGCAGATTTTCTCGTGAGGTTACCGAGTACTACCAGACTATGTACACGAAGTTTGGAGCCCGTGGTTCCCAATTGATTGTTGTACCATTCAACCAAGGTAAATACCACCCCTCCTGCTAATGAATTAAGTCTAACACTTCTTCTTTTTTTTTCAGGTAGCAAGCAGGATTGCGAAGCTCTTGTAAACTGGGTCTATGATGCAAAGAATGGACTTGGATGGGATTTGGACTTTGTTATTCCCTTCGCCGCTATTTCTGAGAATGGCCGTGAAATTGATGGCCTCGACTCCAAGTCCGAGCTTGCGCACAGAATCATGTTGACAAATCTTCTCCGTCTCCTTGGAATGGTCAAGACAAACAAAGCCTCTCGTGGCTACGAAACCCGTCCTGCACAGGTCATCCTTCCTCTTTCTCCCAACCATGGTACCTTCGGTAACGACGGCATGTATTCTGAATCCAAGCTAGCTTTGGAGACATTGTTCACCCGATGGCACTCCGAATCATGGGGTAACTACCTCACAATCTGCGGAGCTGTTATCGGATGGACCCGTGGTACTGGTTTGATGGGTGGCAACAACTCTATCGCTGAGGGTGTTGAGAAACTTGGTGTCCGTACTTTCTCGCAGCAGGAAATGGCTTTCAATCTCTTGGGTCTGATGGCTCCATCTGTCGTCAACCTCTGCCAAGTCGAGCCGGTCTTTGCCGATCTTAACGGTGGCTTCCAGTATATTCCCAATCTTAAGGAGGTTTCTGCCCAGCTCCGTCAGAATCTGCAGGAGACTTGTGAAGTTCGCAAGGCGGTCACCGTCGAAACTGCCATCGAGCACAAGATCGTCAACGGCGAGGAGTCGGAGAAACTCTACCAAAAGGTCACTATCCAGCCGCGTGCGAACATGAAGTTTTCATTCCCGGAACTTCCAGATTATAAAAAGGAGATTGAACCTTTGGCTGCAGACCTCCGTGGTATGGTCGACTTGGAGAAGGTTGTTGTTGTTACCGGATTTGCTGAGGTCGGTCCCTGGGGTAACTCCAGGACTCGATGGGAGATGGAGGCCCACGGCCATTTTTCGCTCGAAGGATGCATTGAAATGGCTTGGATCATGGGTCTCATCAAGCATTTCAAGGGACCAATCAAGGGCAAACCATACTCCGGTTGGGTCGACGCTAAAACAAACGAACCTGTTGATGACAAAGATGTCAAAGCCAAGTACGAGAAGCACATCTTGGAACACTCCGGTATCCGTTTGATTGAGAGCGAGCTTTTCGGTGGTTATGACCCTAAAAGGAAGGAATTGCTCCAGGAAGTTGTTATTGAGCAAGACTTGGAACAATTCGAGACCAGCAAAGAGAATGCACAGGAATTCAAGAGACAACACGGTGATAAGGTCGAGATCTTTGAGCTTAAGGAGACCGGTGAGTACACTGTGCGCCTAAAGAAGGGTGCGTTGTTGTACGTTCCCAAGGCATTGAAATTCGACCGCCTTGTTGCTGGCCAGATTCCCGCCGGATGGGACGCCCGTAGATACGGCATCCCCGAAGATATAATCACCCAAGTCGATCCAGTCACTCTTTATGTCCTTGTCAGTGTTGTCGAGGCTCTTTTGGCGGCTGGTATCACTGACCCGTACGAATTCTACAAATACGTGCACTTGTCAGAGGTTGGTAACTGTGTCGGTTCTGGTGTTGGAGGTGTGAGCGCTCTGAGAGGGATGTACAAGGGCAGATGGCAAGACAAGCCGATCCAGAAGGATATTTTGCAGGAATCTTTCATCAACACCATGTCTGCGTGGGTTAACATGTTGCTTCTCTCCTCTACTGGCCCGATCAAGACTCCTGTCGGTGCTTGTGCTACTGCTGTCGAGTCTCTTGATATTGGTTACGAGACTATTGTTGAGGGCAAAGCAAGAGTGTGCTTCGTTGGCGGTTTTGATGACTTCCAAGAGGAAGGCTCTTACGAGTTCGCCAACATGAAGGCTACGAGCAACGCCGAGGAGGAAATTGCGCATGGAAGAACCCCAGCTGAAATGTCCAGACCAACTACCACTACCAGAAATGGTTTCATGGAATCCCAGGGGTGCGGTGTTCAGCTCATTATGAGCGCGAAGTTGGCGTTGGAGATGGGTGTTCCAATCTATGGTATTGTTGCGCTAACGGCGACTGCCACCGACAAGATTGGACGTAGTATTCCTGCTCCTGGTCAAGGTATTTTGACTACAGCTCGTGAAGCCAGCAGCAAATTCCCAAGCCCTCTCCTAGATATCAAATACAGGAAGAGGCAACTCGACATGCGCAAGGCTCAAATCAAGCAATGGACCGAGTCCGAACTCATGTATCTCCAGGAGGAGGTCGCTGCTATGAAATCTCAGGGTACAGACTTCGACGAGAGCGAGTACATGCAGGACCGTGCTGGCCACATTGAGCGCGAATCTCAGAGGCAGGAAAGCGAGGCTCTGAACGCGTGGGGTAACAACTTCTGGAAGAAGGATCCCAGAATTGCGCCATTGAGGGGAGCCCTGGCTACATGGGGCTTGACGATTGACGATTTGGGCGTTGCCAGTTTCCACGGAACCAGTACTAAGGCCAATGACAAGAATGAATCTGATGCCATTCAGAAGATGTTGACCCATCTAGGAAGGAAGAAGGGCAATGCCATCCTGGGTATCTTCCAGAAATATCTCACTGGTCATCCTAAGGGTGCCGCTGGTGCCTGGATGATGAACGGAGCCATTCAGTGCTTGAACTCTGGTCTCGTACCAGGCAACAGGAATGCAGATAACGTCGACCAAAAGTTGGAACAGTTTGATTACATCCTTTACCCAAGTCGAAGCATCCAAACCGATGGTATCAAGGCATTTTCGGTCACTTCCTTCGGTTTCGGTCAGAAGGGTGCTCAGGCCATCGGTGTTCACGCTAAATATCTCTTTGCCACTCTGGATGAGCAGACATATGAGGCGTACAAAGCCAAGGTCAACTCTCGGTACAAGAAGGCTTACAGATATTACCACACCTCACTTGTTGAAAACAACATGTTCCAAGCCAAGAACGACCCGCCATACACTGCCGACCAGGAGACTCAAGTCCTCCTTGACCCTCTTGCCCGCGTACAGGCCGATAAGAAGACCAACAGCTACATGTACCCCGCACAGATCCAGAAGAAACCCGCAGATCCGTCGGTGGAGAACACTCGCAAGCTTGTTGAGAACCTTGCTAGTGCTACTGCAGGTGATAATAGCAAGATTGGTGTTGATGTTGAACTGATCTCCAGTATTAACATCGATAACGAGAATTTCGTCGAGCGTAACTTTACTGTTGCTGAGCAGGAGTACTGTCGCAAAGCCCCGAGTGCTCAAGCGAGTTTTGCTGGGAGATGGAGCGCGAAAGAGGCCGTGTTCAAGGCGTTAGGTGTTGCGTCAAAGGGTGCTGGGGCCCCATTAAAGGACATTGAAATTCTAAGTGATGATAAGGGTGCTCCTGTCGTTCAAGTATGTTTTTCCTTCCTCAATCCTTCCATAAACAAACATCTAACATAATACAGTTGCATGGCGACGCCAAGGCAGCAGCAGTTAAGGCTGGCGTGAAGGCGGTGCAAGTTAGCATCAGCCACAGTGATGCTCAAGCTATCGCAATTGCGGTAGCGAATTTTTAGATGTTTTTTTTCGTTATATCCTTTTTCCACCAGTTTCTATGATGGTATGAACATAAAGATACGGTTCGGGTTACATGTGTAATTTTCTCTCTTTTCGGTGCTGGTTTTCCTGTGGTGAGGCTTTCTTTGGTCTTGTATTTCTTTTCTTGGTGATTGGGTAAATCGGGTATGTAGGGGATACAACAAAAGCGGAGGGTTTCATTTGTCAATACCAATAGAAGACGTTTTCGATTCTGCTCTTTGCCCCTAGCTTTGTGGTTATGAATCAATCAATCAATCATAGTTGTGGTTATATTTTATGTATTTTAACGAGTGATCAGCCATGACGACAAGTCAGTTTTGTTGTAATGGCGACCCATTCTGTGACTTGTGGAACTTTAACAGATCTCGATTAACAGATTAACATGAATAGATATTAATAGAGATTCTTTCGTATAGATACAATCAAGAGTATTGGCTATCGAAACTATAGCTTCAAGCTCCACCTGAGCCCCAACACGAAATATCAGAAGATATACAGCAATCAAATTGCAAGAGATGCTAGTCTAGGCGCATATCATATTTCAATGGTCTGTGGTTTGCAAAACCAAGTTTATATTGGGTTATTTGAGTCATGACATTCTGGGCCTTTGTATTCATACAATTGGTGAGTTTGGACCTCATTACCGAGTGATAGATCATGATGTAATCAATCATTCTAGAGATCCCCAACTCAAAGACAGAGCTACAGGTAGTTTCGGATCAGCGTCCAGTTCTGGTTCCCAAAATTTGAATCATTTGTAGCTGTTATAAGCTCGTTTGGTATCCGTGTCTGTCTAGACTAGACCACCATCATTAATTATACAGTCAAACAACCGGAGGTATCGCAAATCTCCATATATATCGGGTCAGCTACCAAAGAATATTTCACTTGATTTTAACCCTCACATGCTCATAGCAATATAATCTATTCACCACCAATTACACAAACTAATTTGATGCCAATAATTAGACCGGACGAAAAGACAGCAGCAATCAGATAATCCTAGGGGCACGAGACTATCATCACCTGTCCAGATTTATGTATAACCGATGATTTATAACTGCATAAATAGGCCTTCTTACCGTAGACTGTGAAATAGATTTAACTATAAAAGACTTGCCTATAACTACGCCCTAGCTCTTTACCACTAGCTAGCTAACTGCTTCAAAATATCCTTAAACGTCTTTACATCATCACTCACAAAAGTTCACAGATCATAACTCACAATGCCTAAATATAAACGCCCCGCCCACCCACCCCCAGCACCCCCTCCCTCTCCTGATCCAACCGCCGTAGTTTGCGACAGAGGCCAAGTAGCGCATTGCCAGCGACCCGCCTCTCCTCGTCGCCCGCTGCCTCCATTCCCCTCCAGGACTTTTGAGCAACGACAAGACCCTAATCCTCGTCCCCCTAAGCCCAAGCCTAGGCCTAGGCTTAATTTGTTTCACCTTGCTAGGAATCCTCGCGCTGCTAAACGTGGACCTATGCTTGCCCAACCAACTCAGGCTACTCAGTTTCCCTCCACTAGCTCTACCAATACCGGTGCTCGTCCTGGTTCTGGGAGTGCTCGTACTGATACCAATGATAGGGCTGCAGCTGCAGCTATGGCCGGTGGGGGGGTAAATAGGCTTCGTAGGGTTGCTGGGTTTGAGATGTTACGTCGTTGAAGATAGGGAGAATATCAATTTTCGCAAGATTATGCTTTCTTTTTTTTGAATCTTTAGAGTAGAGCTTTCTCGTATCACATACCTAGTACTGATTGAGATAGTGCGGACTTGCGGACCTGCAGGTCATTTTATTTAGTTGTTTGCTTTTTCTTACTAGTATCGCTTGGTACTTTTACCAATACATTAGATTTTAGAGCACGTGCAGCGCTTGGTTAGATGCGCAAAATTCAACTCCTATTTTTTCATAAACAGAACCGTGGCTATATATCATCGGTTTATCGGGATGTTACGGCCGACTCAAGGAGTGACATTTAACCCACTGGAATAGTAGGTTTTAAATTTCAGAGTATTTACTATTACTAGTCCAGTTCTTAATTCGCTAAGAAAAGTACCCCTGCGGTAATGATTGATTTGACATCTTATCCCCTCTCTGACAACCGCACTAGAGTCTCTACAGAAAAACCCCTCAAAACAAATAACAAGAAGATCTTGGATATGTCGGATTGAAATAATAAGGAAACTAAGATTCTCATCGAATAAAAGACATAGGGCTGTTCTAAACCGCCGGCGCACACAACCAGTTATTCGGGCTACCTAGTCCATTAACGAACAACGAATAATTCTATGCCGAACTGTTTCGTCACAAAAACCGATAAAATTCACAGGAGAGGGGAATGTGCTTCTTTCTTTGAAGGCTATGTTTATATATCCCTATAAGCAGAGAGGTCCCTAATTAGCAAATTTTACCGGTAAAGTAAAAGTGTTCACCGCTTGCGTTAATTCACCTCCCAGGTACGTTCCTGAATGGATCTGAGCATTACTACACCCAGCATGTCGTTTGATGAATCATAGTTTCGTTCGGGAATAGCCGGCGTTGGCCAACGGACTACCATGGCAAGGATGCCTCCAACCAAGACCATTGGGTTTACACCAAAGACACGGGATTGGCCTATAGTACGAACTTTGTTTACGATCTATCAATTCTCTAGCCTAGCCTGCGTTCCTATTCGTTTGAAGCAAAAAGCCCAAAGCTTGGGACCCCGCACCACATGACGGCCGCATTCTATCATTTTCTACTATTTTACATCACCAACACCATTGATTCCACCTCTACCGTCAGAATAATCATCGACGCTACATGTATTTATTGGTTGAAAAAGTGCGCCGGCGTCTATTCCATCCTATTAAACCTCATTTCCTGCCATCACTCACCTATCTCATATACTTACACTCCTTCTCTATTCTCCGCTACTACTCGCTCCACTGCCACTCTTCCATCTATTCTTCACTCCCCCCCGCCTTACTATAGACCCTGCAAAGTGCGGCTCAGCGACCAAAGGAAGCTGGACGGCTTGGCACAACACTAGATGTTTCGTTTCACAACATATCACTCGCACGGCTTGGCATAAAGACCTCCTATTATATTTTGGACTACATCTACAAAAACACCACTTCTCATATCCCCATCTTAGATAAACAATAAAATTTAAGTGCACTAAATCCGGATATGTTAGCCAGTTGTAATAGGAATAAGATGAAAGTATACTACTAACCTGAGAGTAGTAATCGTTGAGCTTAACGCAAGTCGCTCCAGACACACAAGCAGTTGCTCCAGTCCATCCGACACCTCCGCACTGTGCCCACTTAGCTGCCAAGGCACCAGTAGCCGATGCAGCCGCTGAGGTAGAAACGGTGGTAGTGACAGCAGCGGTGGTAGTAGTAGGAACCGCGGTAGTTGTTGACTTGACGCTAGTTGACGCGACAGCAGTAGTAGACCCGCTGCTAGTTCCCGACCCGATAACAGTGTTGATTGATCCACTCTCAACATACACACCACTGTAGTACCAGTCCTCAGCATCAGTAGAAGTAACGCCGCTGCCGCTAGCAGGCAGACGGAGAACACCCAAGTGCCAATCGGCGGAGTTGGTGGAGGTAGATGCTGAGAAGGGACCGGCGGTCTTGACGAGAGGGTCAGAACCGACAGAGTGCCAGAGGGTTACGGTGCTGCCGCTAAAGTCGATCTCGTAGGCAAAGTTGTGCCAAACATCAGCGACCCAGTCGACGTTCCATTTTGAAACACCACCGACCATCCAGCGGAGGTTGTTGTCGGGATTGGTGTTGGTGTTACCATTGATCCAACCATATTTCATTTCTGTGAAGTGGGATTCGCTAGTGTTTGTTAGATACTAGCATCGAGTATATGTATGGAAGAGTATTGGACTTACAAGAAGTTTACCTGGTGCTCAAAGTTGGCGTTTGGTGCGTTTGTGGCGGACCTCTTCATGCTGAAGTGATAGTACAGTGTACCGGTTCCCAAGTTTGCAGTGGTCTGCGGGATCAACTCGGTTCTCCACATGTCGGAATTCCACTTCGCTGTGTCATCGATGGTGATCTTGACACCCTGGTTGGAGGTCGTATCGGCGGGGTTCTTGTAGTCAGCGGAGAGGTTGACATAGTCGGTTACAGCTCCGGAGCCGTGGATGTAGTACTGGTAGGACCCGACCTGGTTGGCCCAGGACCAAGTGTTTAGGTCGGTACTGCTAGAGTAGTCACTTTTGATTTATTAGTATCACTGCAGATCTTATATATAGAACCGTCTTTCTCAGCCATTGGAAAACTTACTTAAATCTTCCATCCCAGATGACAGTGCCAGCACTGGCAAGTCCTAGTAGAAACGAACTGGCAGAAAGTAGGCCAAGCATATTGTTGGTAGAGGGTCAAAAAATACAGATCAACTCAATTGAACGAAGGAATGGAAGCTAGGCGCTGGTGGATAGACAAGACAACCTCTTCGATCGCAGCGACGTTGATGGATTATAAGTTTCTTGACAGGAATCCAGTCCAATATTTATATGAAACTTCCGATATTAATAAAGGGTCGTTAAAAAAAGTCACCCTAGTAAAGTTGCGGATCATATATTGAATCTACTATATCCACAACCCAAACCCCATCCAACCTAATAATTACAGTACTCCTAGAAGGCCCAAGAGGATAGACGGGGCGGAAATCACAGTCCCGAATCCCTGACCCCCGTCTCGGACCCCTGGACGTCAATAAAGCTTAGAGTCGGAGATGCGGGGCGCCGGCGGAAAGGCCTAGCTGTCCGTCCGAAGTAGAGTAAGGTGACCTTCATGGATCATTGATGGTGATTACTTATGATCTTGGTAAGTTTAGCCGCCATCTGGAATATCGGCCCTGTATTGGCGAAACGACGACGTCGAACCACCAAACGAACTAATCCGGGAACGCAGCCCGATGGAAGAGTTGGACTCGTACCTGATTATCGAAAAGTTAATTATGTTTACCTGGCGGAGAATTTCCTTACTTTTGTACGCGCGCGGTATGCATGAACCGTACCTTGATGAATAGTAATCACCACATATATATGATGGGAGCTAGAGGATGAAAGAACAGGAAGAAGATATGATCCTTCTAGTTCTCTTATCAAACTCATTAGCTTAGCGTTAGGAAAGTACACCTTGTTGTGAAAACGAACCCCGTATGCACGGGTACATGTAGGTACGGTTTGTTACAACGCTCTTGGGAGGCCAAAATTGAACAATGTCTACCAAACCTCTCTCGTTATTTCCAGAGATTAAAAAATACGTTCAAAAACAATCCCCTTGATCCTGTACAAACTATAGCTCGTTCGCATTGAGATAACCCGATTCGGTTTCCTCAACATATGGATCAAATACAAGCCTGCAGCTACAATTCGATATTCACCACCACAGCCGCCACGAACGCGTTAATTGCAGATATATGCCCAAATTACGACGCATGGGAGGCCTAGGGAAATTATTCTACTCTAGTACCTGAGTACATGAGTATCAACCACCCGGGCAGACCAGCCCGAAAAACCGTTGGCTGACGCCTGTACGCCGCCACTTTACCGTTCATTTCTCCATTCCGCACGTGCTGCTCCCCGGACGTCGACCACGAGGAGTATATACCTCCAATTAACGTTAACAATCCACCGGCGATACCGGTCAGTCCAACCCAATCGGCACAGTGCACGACTTCGACGTCGAGACGCGGGGTTAATTAGAGTAGAGTACATGCTATGGATGCATACATGTACCTAAGGTAGTACTCTACTGCTCTATCTCCTAGAGTCCCAGAGCACAGAACCACGACTCCAGTCCCACGAACGGGGTACGCATAGTAGAACACACAGACGGATGGATGCAGAGCCCCGCTCCACCCAATCCCCACCAAATAACAATTTCACCAGACAAGGCAAAAGAAAAAGAAAAACAGAAGGCAGAAAAAAATAAAATCTCTCTCTATTCGGGAAGCGGCGGTAGGGAAAGCTTAGCATTCGATTATCGCAACCAAGGAAAACTTGACTGGTTAGACGTCACTTTAGCAGGCAACAACCAACGATAAACCAACATCGTGAGACATAACAACTACATCGTCACCCGTCACGAGAACTGAATTCATCCCACCCCTGAATACGAAGGTAGAATGTCGTCAACTCACTCATGAGTACAATAACTCTCCGTGGCACTTCTGCTCTAGGTATTGGCAAGGAGGTAGAGGAGCATGACCAACCAGCAGCAACATGAATAAATGCAATAGGACAGAGTAATTATATTAGGATCATCATTTATATTACATTCTAACAATTTCTCCTGCGTCTGCGTCTACCCCCACTGAGTGCAGGCGGGGTGAGAGGCCCAGCAATTTCATTTGTAAATAATAATGGATAAAGGTAACCCACTCCCAGCACTCTTGTGCCAGTCAGGGCCCATGGAAAATTTATCTCTTGTGGGCCATTTGCAGCACTGCAGTACTGACCAAGAAAGAGAGAAAAATGTACACAAACACGCGCAAGAGCCGGACCACGGGGTCATAAAGATGCTCCTGTACGTAACCGTTTTGGACAGATACTAACTGCTCCTCCGGTGTAACCTCCGAAAGTGAGAAAAATTAAGAATAATATTAAAGCAGAAACAAAGTAGATTCGCAAAACGTGAGTTGGTTTCCTGATTTT